CACCCGTGTATGCATATATCCCTATTGTTTGACTGTGGTGCTATTAAATTTTATGGTCAACTATTGATCAATGTAGGGGTGTCAGGGGGCTGAAATTCAGTCAAATACCGTTTATTTTGTGCAATTGAAACCATCAATTGGAAGTTGCACAAGGCATGGCGGCCACACCGCCAGAGTGCTGGCAAAGACGGAGTAGTAAACACCCGATGCGATGAAGACTGTGAGTTTGTTTATTGGTGTATGGCTACATATATATATATATATATATATATATATATATATATATATCTATATATTTCCATGTTGTCATATATGTATGTATGTATATCTTGGATTTCGCGGCAACATATTTTCTGTGCTGAAACAATTCGCGACGCAATGAGCATATTATTCTCTATATAGTGCGTAGCGGATGGAACGACCTCTTTTGGAAGGTGCTATACTGGTGCCACAACTGTCGTTTTGCGACAATGTTTTCTTATTTTAAATAATATACGACATAATTTCCAATATAACTTCTATAAAGTGATGTACGTAGCGGATGGGAGTACTCCTTTAGAGAATGCTATACTAGTACATCAACCTACACTTCGCGACAACGTTGCTCGTATAAACTAATATACGACATATTTCCCAACCCAAATCCTGTTCAGTGTACACTGGGTGACAAGACCTTCTTAGTGGGCGCCAAACTGGTGTACCAACTTAAATTTTGCGACAAAGTTTCCCGTACTGAACCAATATACGTCATGTTTATCATACCCATTCCGTATACAGTGCGTAGCGGATCAGAAGACCCCCTTAGAGGGTGCCATACTGGTGATGACCGCCCATACGTACACCTTGGACTCGGCGCTTCACGACCAACAAAAACTGTTGCAAAGTATGAAGAACAACAAGGAAGGCGCACTCGAGAAAGCCACTGCCAAGCTGGAAACACTGATAGAGAACAATAGGAAGGTATGTAGGGGTGTGTGTTTGTGTATATATCCTGTTTGTACTTTTGTTTTCGCACAGATTTGTCATCAGTTACATATTCCTCGGCTTTCTTCATATACATGTGCATGTATATGTATAGTAAAATATATACATATACATATACATATACATATACATATACATATACATATACATATACATATACATATACATATACATATACATATACATATACATATACATATACATATACATATACATATACATATACATATACATGTACATGTACATGTACATGTACATGTACATATACATATTCATATCCATATCCATATCCATATACATATACATATACATATACACATACATATATACATATATATATACATATATA